TTCATTTGCTAAGCAAATTATGAAGCGAAGGGATTGGTATGAAGCGGCGTGACTACTGCATCGATTATGGACACATATGCGAGCGTATCTTCGGTAGCGGGCGACTGGGCAAGACAGCTGCGGAAAATACTTCGTCCGAATCGAGTTACGAAGGCTTTTCTTCTCTGTATTTTTGAACCGTTCCACTACGTATTGCGCCACATTCAAAACTAAACTAATAGCGCCTGATCGGTAGGCGGATGGTGTAGTGACAAATGGCGCGTCACACTCGCCGCAGGTCCTGGGTTCGAATACCCAGGTCGAACCCGCCCGGGTCGACCGCCCAGGCCAACCAAGCCTTCTACCCTCCGGGGACGGTAAATTGGTACCAGATTCGTCTGGGAGGATAAAACACTGACTTGTACATCGGCTGGCCACCGCAAGTCATTGTATAGGCCACATCGCATTCAATAAGCCACTACGATTCTGAATGGAAGTAGAATGCGTGCCGCATCCCACAAAGGGATTGATCAACGGCGAAGACTTTATCCTTTATCCTTATAGCGCCCTATTAGCATTTTAGGCCAAATGGGAAACATCGTGCCAACTGCCTTTAAAGGCAAAACCCGCGATCATTCGCCACCACAGATAGTGGATTAGGAGTTCGCATATAGACGACAAGGTTGTGAGTAACTGGATAGTGAAGAAAAATACAAAAAAAAACATGCCACACTGCCCTAAGTAGAACCCCATTCCGATTCCACTTTGTACATGTCCATTTAACTCACATTTAACTTACATTTTCAGCACTATGCTCTCATCTGCACCACTGTTTCCCCCGATAAGATCTCTACGACTCTCTACTCTTTTCATGCTTTTTCGTCCCGCAGCTTCGTTTTTCATTGAAAGAGGGCCTTGAGGGCGGAGTCTGGAGGCGGAGTCACTGGAAAAAAGGAGGCGTCACTGAACCTATATTGCGCTATAGCGCCCCTCCCTTACAATTTTTTGCCGCGAAACCGGTACAAGGTTGTTCGTCGCGGACACTACCCTCCCGACGCCATATTTTCAACTTCTATACCTGATCGCGGACCGTACCTTTAAGGTTTGATGAATCTTTGACATACCGAAGTGAAGGATAAACTGCATAGCGTTGACTTAACCCACTTCATTGCAGAATCGCAAAGGATTGAGGAGGTTGGAAAATTGCTGAAGGTTGCACCTATAAGAAGAGGTCTCTCCATAAGTTGGCATGAAACAGGACGAGAGGACGCCAGACGTACACCAACGTCTACTGCAGAAGCTAGGGCGTCCCAGAGGGGCTGACTTCAGGCCGTTTTCCGCCATCTGCCGAAGCTTACAAGCGACAGGTGGTGCGACAGACAGGTAAGATGGCAGAGACGATGAGAGAGGTGGGGAGGGAGGGGTCGAACCGAAGGAAGAAATTTTGGGAAATCGTATTTCAAAATATTTCCACGATCTGATGGTGCGCCGTGGCTCCTATAGTGTGGGTTCCATGGAAGCAGAACCGCTTCCGCCCAAGTTGACCTTCACGGATCCCAAATAGGAAACAAGCTTGTTGATGGGCTGAAGCTTTCAATTAGACGAAGTCAGATCACAGCTCAGCCACGACGGATTAAGCAAAGCTCGTTGAGACTTTATCCGCTTTAGACGTGGAAGGGGATGACCCTGGATCGACAGAATCGCGCCAAAACAGCGTAGTGCACTCCCGCTTGATAAATGACTCATCCAACAGCATTCCTCCTATTCTTAAAGTTTATATGCACTTTTGTGACGTTTCCATTCCCCAATATGAGGTCATCATACAGAATCAGAAGAAGCTGAAGAAGCTAGGATTGCTTAGGTTGATTGCCCATGGACTTGCACTGGTTCGAGTGCCTAAGGACGCAATCAAGGCAAGCAAGATACTGCGCCATAAAACGTGGGGCGGGCGAACGGTCCCTGTTATCCTGGCCCAGTCGTTAATTCGGTTATCTGTCACTAAAACATATCGGCCATTCGAACTTCTCACGAAACGCTCCAATCGATGAATCTATGAACTCTTACTCAAGAAGTTTCGCAACTATCTTGGCATGTTTCCGACCATGTGACACACATGGTGTGTCATGCATTTTCTCTCAATGCCGCTTCATATGATCCATTTTCATCAACTACTTCATGTTGTGTAGTAATCAGTATACGCTTCTGAGCAGGGAATCCGCATGTCTCATGTAAATGTGAAAATTTCTGGTTATCGATGTAAAAAGGGGGGGGGGGGAGCGATGATGCGAAAGTCTCGCAGTACGGGCGGTGCTTGGCGTGCTCTAATGTGAGGAAGAGACTTCCACAACGTCTATTGGTAAAATCCCGTTTCCTTGCGGGTGAGGAGGATGAGGGTCCGAAGGCCACACGGTGCACCCACACTCGCCTTTTGAAGGATTTGATGAATATTATAATATATTGTTTCTCCTCGGCTCGCCCTACTTTGGTGTTTCCGCTCGCTTTCGGTGTGTATTCGTTGCTATCTGTCTGCTTGTCTGGTACTCGCACCCCCCCCTGAGGGCCACACTGAGGTGATACGGGTTGTGGCGCAGAACCAATCCTTTGCCACAAAGTTGTGACTTGCCCGCTCTTACGATTGGTGCGGGATAACGGCTGGCAGGCCTTTAAACATCAGCCTGTCTTGCCACGCCCAAGGCTTGCAGGCGTAATATATATGCGTCTTTATTCGCCGTTAATACGGATACCGCTTTTTGAGGCTTTTTCTGCTGCTTCTGCCTCTGTGCGCTTCTGCCCGCTTTCTGCTTTTTGGCGTTCTCTTTTGCAGGGCGACTGATATAGCGAATACAAATTCCTATTTGACCCCCCCTGCCCAAGATTTGCCTTTATAGACTGTTTGCGAGATTGCATGTTCTTCAAGCAGGCAATGCTGAGCAGCTTGACAGATGGTGACTACAAAAATCTAGTGAGCTGAATCAGCAACCACCTTTTTTCTGCTGCGTTTCACACATCGGAGTGATAGCCGCCCGCAGCTTTGACAGTGCTGATGTTTCCTCGTTGTTCGCTCATACAGTTAGTGTTATCGTTTCATCTGATCGTTGGCTGAAGCCGAGCCGAGCCCGAAGTGTATTCTCTCCACCCACCCACACTGATCACATGCTTCCCGACTATCTTCTCATCAGCACGATTTTCAAACAATTTCTTCACTTCCTCATTTCCTTCGGTTCATCACTGTCCCATCTCTTACGTAGAGCTCACGTAATGAGTGCACACCTCTTAAGCTTAAAAGATGATCCAGCTCACGGTTTATCCTCTTATCCCGATCGATACTTCCCTCATCTTCAAAGTGCCTTCATCGATATGAGGGTTCTGCGTGAAGGTGAAATCTCCTATGCATCCATATAAATATTTAAGAATATAACCGCTCCTACTTAGCTAAGCCATCCACGCAATCTGCCAATCATTAGCGAGTCGCCCAGGAGAATTCCTCTCATTCAAGCTACCTTCTTGCAGAAGTGATGCCATCAGTCCAGACAACTTGTGTGGCCTACTAGCTGTTCCACTTTATCAGGTTAGTTGTTAAGAAAACTTCTGGTCACTATCCGCCACTTTTTTACAAAAATTTACTTTTGTGACAGATGCCATATACGTCTGAAAGTTGTCAAGCGACCTCTATGCGACACAGATTCTGTCCATAGAGGTCGCTTGACAACTTTCAGACGTATATGGCATCCTTTTGGCATAAAAACACTAGGCGCGTGCGGCGCCAGGCGTCTCCAACTGTGACGGCGCTGATTTCTGTAGCTCTGGCACCAGTCGTTCTTGTGTCAAACTGATGTAACATGTGACGATCGTGCTGGTCGTGGGTCAAACCCTCGGGAACAACTTTCGGGACAAGCCGCCCAGGAGGCGCAGTCGTATTTAAAGGACTCCTCGAGCAAAACTTGGATCATCGTTATGAAGATCAGGATTTCTATTAACCACTGGGAGGGCAGGAGCTAAGGAATGGACGGACCAATTTATTGAGCAGGAAGAGAGCTTAGCACACTGACGGCAGTTTTCCAAGGGTCCTTCAAATCACCCAAAGACTTTTGAGTTGCCCTACCTCACTATTGGCTGAAATTTTGAAAATGAATACCAATAATGAAGCTAAATCTCTTGATTCCCAAAGTCTGATAACACCTCTCTTTCTTTTTTGCTTTTTTTATACCCTACATTCTCCATAACACTTCAGCACTGTTTGCCACCCAAATTCCAAAATCGATTCAGCTTTTTACTGACTTTTTCTCCACAGGCGTATTCAGCTAAAAAGTTGCCTGGAGGGAAATCCTTCATGCTCCAAACATGAATATCACATGCGATTTCCCTAAATGCGCCTGGCGCACGCCACACAGGCTCCAGCGCCAAAATACCCACAGTCCACAGATTCGCTGAAAATTTGCCACTAGGGTCAGTTTGACCCTATGAAAACGAATCCCTCATCCTCTTGGCACGAAAGCGTCTGGCGACGCGCTACAGGCAACGGCAACACGTGCTTGTTTGACTCTGGCACGCGCAGCGCGGACTCCTGGCGGATTCATGCCAAGCGACGCGCTCGGTCAGTCAGGAAAACTGCGACGCAAGTGATCCCTACCTTTGGCCAAGCTCGGCCTCAGCAGAGGACACGATCATTATGGTGCGGAAAAGCAGGAGCAGGCCATCCTGGAACGTGTACCCGCCCTTTCCCCGCTTTCTCACGTTTAATCCTTTGGCACTCCACGCAAATGTAACAACCCTGTTCAGAAGATCGAACTACCCCCGGGGACAAGTGTTCAGCGATTGCACCAATCGAATGTGGCGCGCGAGTAGTTTACCAAGATTCCTAAGTTACTAGTTCCTGATGAATGATCTTCCCGGGAAGAAAACTTGACAAACCTTCACAAATGTACGGGTTTTGAGGGCGAATAGTGTCCACTTTTAGGAAGCATTTCTAATGTTAAAGGATTTGTCGTCTATTAAGGTGATCACCCAGACGTTTTCTACCAATGTCCGTCACCAAATCGCTGAACCATGATCGTGGGTTAAGGCTTATTGGTCGTTACAGTCTTCAAAGACCTACTGACTCAATGTTTTCAGAGCCGACAGAACATCGTGATCGGTTATTCATCGGCGAAATCAGACGGGATTGGGAGCCAAAAAGGGTGGAGGTACAGAAGACGCGGATCTTTCTTCCCATGTACCAATTATTTGTAGAACTCTGCACTGATTGTAAGTGATTTCAGTCGTTCCTTCGTGGAATCCTCCCAGAAGCAACAACTATTGATGCCTATGCAGAAGGCAGTCCATTGGTACGGAATCGTGGCTTTGCATTCGTCAGTTTCGCCGATGTAGGAGCAGCAGTACGAGCAACGTAATAACTTCATCCTAGAAAAGAGGATAGTGACCGCGTCTGCAAAACTTTCCTCGCCACGATAGTCCCGAAACGTCCCCTTGTACATGAGGGGCGTTTTTACCCACTTTTCTTTGCCCCTTGTCCAAAACCCTCAGCTCACACTCACTGCTGAAAAGTGTGCGGAGTCTCCACACCTTTTTCGAACAAACAGAACCCCACACCGATGTATCAACTGCTATGCCGTCGATAAAGACAAACTGTACTCTCATCTAGTCCTCGTCCTTGTCATTTGTGAGGTAAATGGGTCCGCGCTGCAGCAGTGTGCCCACTTCCCGCCCAAAAGTGCACCGGGACGAAGCTGCAGAAAGTGATGCCGTGTTGTTGTTTCATACTCCACGCGCTGCCGCTTGTCCGGTGTCCACGCCTTGACCATAGAAAAGCGCGCCACTTGTCTGCGCCTCTTCCTTCTTGTTGCTCTCTCCCTCTGACTGCGAGATTTTGGCGTCGAGAAATACTGCTGCACTTGAGAATGGAGCGGAGGAGTATGGATACGGAAATCGGGCATCAACTCCTTACACCCCCTCCTCATGCACTTTTGAGCAGAAAAAGTGGTACGCTATTGCAATGGTGGACCCACTCGCCTCGCACACGGGAAGCATCGTCCTTGGAGATTAGTGTACAGTTCTTCTTCAATTTCTTTGCTTCTTTCCCAGTTGATGTGAAAGTTTCTCAGGACTCAATCTCGAAATGATTGCCAGGACTGGCTCTTAGGTCTGAGGGTGTCGTTCGAGGTGACTGGTGTGGTTGTGTAATTATTTGGAGTAAGCCGTTGTGTGTATTGCGTAAGAGCCATGAATTACTTTAAAGACTCGCTTTTTTAAGAATTCGAACTTCTCCCCTCTCAGAAAACAGGGAAACTTGCAATCAAGATGCGTGTCGGCGATGGGATTGGCGCGGCGCCAACCCATCTCGCTGGACACGCCACAATGTCGGACACCAACTGTTGAAGCGAGGAACCGACAGCGCTGCGCCATGTCGCTCGCATCAGTCGTTTTCCATCAATCGTTGTCGCTAACCTTCTTCACCAATGGTATGCGAAACGGATACGGCGCAGACGCCAGCGAAGCCGCTTCATGGTGCAGCGATCCAGCCTATTATACTTGTTCACAAGCAGCCCTTAAGCCATTATGTTGTCCAAACTGACGTGAACGAAAATGACTGGAGAGTAGTAAAAGGCTTCGTGGAACTGGCATATCAGAATTCAACGTATAACCAGTATCAGATAAACTCCGCCGTCACAAACTGGTTAACGACCTATAGGGTCGTATTTTGGTTGGTAGATTGTGCTGTATTTGATATGTCCTTACTCGAGATGAAAAAAGACTCCATTTCACCTGTGAGCGGCAGTATCTGCTCTACTGGCTGCAAGGCCTCTTTGGTATCACCGACTCTGACTAGTCATTCGAGTCTCTTTTGAAGTGTGGCAGTGTCGTGGACATCCATCAGCTGACCAAGGTGATGATTTGCCTAGCGCCCACAATGCCAACGATTCTAGTAATTGAATCGAAATGGCAACGGCGCTTGCGTGCAGCTCAACGGCCGTCATCAATCATTCTCTTGCTCTTGGTTTCCGATTATCCATCGACATCCAAAGATGGGTTTCACACGAAGTACACGGCTAGGGCATGATCAGCATTTATAAATTATTACTCTCTAATCCACACGAAACTGATCTGCTAATCGAAATAGTAAAAGGAATATAATCTGGGTCCTATGTAAATAACAAGGTGTTTGGGTAAGAAATTGCTATAGAGAAAGGTACTTGGGCTGTACTGCTGGAAATGTGAAGGAATGTCCCCCCATGAAGAGGCTTGTCGAGATCAAGTCCAAGTGACCAAAACGATGCATTTACCCGGCCTACTACAGAACGAGGCCGACTCAGTCCGCTAGCATTAACCAAAGCAGTAAAATATCCATTTTATCCATCGCGATGCTCTACTCTCATAGTAAGTATGACGCTCTAGAAACAGTCTGTAGCAAAGTAGTATGCTGTCGCCAAGCTCTCTAGACCTCGGCACTTTGCCTGCCTTCAAGCCTAGTGCCACTATAATTAGGGTCAAATCGACATGGAGGTAGTTCAATTCTTTAATTTTTCCAGGTTTTTTCGAGAAAGTGGAGCTGAGAAAATGCCTGTAATATAGTTGAAGGTTACGAGTAGCTATGGGGATCGAATAACTGATTGCAGGTTGTGCTTGAATAAGTAGTCCCGAGTCATACATATCCCAGTATCCTGCTGTTTTTCGGCGTGAACTTTTCAATCCATTATGTACAGAAAACCGTTCACAGATTATCGTGGAACTCTGATGGAATTCTGCGGGCACGTCCTTGCTTTGGGGAGACGCTTTTGGATTTCTACCCCCCCCCCACCCACATCTCCCCTTTAGCATGACGATCCCTTCCGCAGCCTACTTGCTTTACAGGGCATGTCTCGCTGTTGGCTAGAACTCTCACAACACGACCCGATTCCCCTGAGAATTTTCACTTTTAGTACAACCTCTTCCCCTTACCCATCCCTCATCCTAATCACCATATTCTCGAGTCTCTCCATTTTCTCCAGAGTTCCTGAAAAAACCTCTTTATCAGAACAGTTTTTCTCTCCAAAAATTCTCCAGATTCCCGAAAAAATTCCATTGAGCGGTAGGAGGGCTGGAGGAACTCGTAACCGCACACTCCTCTACCCGAGGATCCTCCAGCGCAGCAAGTGCTTGGTCGTATGTAACCTAGGACGTACTCCAGTTGCTGTTTACACGTTGTTGTGACCAAGTCATTTCTGAGCATGGACTCCCAAGGGAATTGGCGCATCTTGAAAGGAAAGGCTGCAGCCTCCTCCTCCCCCCCCCCCGAACGCTTCCAAATGCTCTCAAACATCTCTACTGAGATACTGATCACGATTCAGCCTGACAAGGAACTGCTAGAGCAATCCAGTGTGCAAGTCTTGTTTTTGCTCGTCCTCCCACGGAAGCAAGGGCTTGCTCATTTCGTTGAGAGCCGATCTCGGATCAGATGTCTTGACCATTTGGGAGATAAACGGCGCCATTTATCACTGCGCCATCTCGACCGCAACATCATTTTAACGCATGTAGTGATGAGACAGCAATGGCGCTGTCGTTAGCAAACCCATCTCTCCAGCCGAGGTGCGAACCTGGACCCTATGTTTGGGATGAGCGCAGCGGTTCGAGCTCTGGCTAGAGCTGAATTCCTCCATCATTCATCACCTCCCAATAATATTCTCACAGCGGCGGTGAATAGCACTCAACGGAAAAAATCAACTAAAATTTGTAGTGATGCAATTTTTTCACAAATTCTTCCACAATTCCTCCTATAATTACGTTTCCTTTTTCAGATGGGAGGACGTGCTTTAACCGTGGATTGGGCACGAGCTGAGCATACTGTATCGCCGGAAATCATGAAGACGGTAATCGTTAAAAAGGACTTAAACTCAACCTTTTGAAGCCGCCTTGGCAACTAATTATGGTCGTTTTGCTGCAGATGCAGGAACGTGTCAGGGGTGTGGGGCTCGGTTTGTCGGAACGTCAGTCCGTTTTTCACGAATTGCTGTGGCTTGCGAATATCAGGAATTGGTGGAAAACGGGCTGGCTCCGCGCCAAACTCAGCCCTCCACCCCCTCCGTGACACACCCCCAGCGTCTGCAGCGAAAACGATTGCAATAACGTACTGGTCCACAAATTCTTCAATTTCAGAAATGGGATGAATTATTGATTAGGTATGTTTGTCACCAAAATGAGGTACTGTGCAACACGTTGTTTGGAGAACATTCGATTACGAATCTCGATTATTCTGAGTTCTACCCAGTTCTTACTCTGATTTGTGCTTCTCGGTTTTTCATCAGGTTAAAAAAGCCAGTTTCCCCCCCCCCACCAAAAGACAGGCTTTCCGAACGAAATATTGTGAGAAGGGTTTCGCTGAACAGAGAGAGTGCAAGCCATGAGTCCAACATTTTCGCGTGGAACTCTCAGCTATTTAGTTTTGGCTCCACCATGTCGCCTTTTTTGGCTGGCAATTTTTACCAGCTCGCTTCTGACCACTTTCGCATTTGACTGTCCTCAAGCCTTGTTATGAAGATTTTACTGGTTTGCCTGTTGTCGCTCAACCTCAACCCCATATTGGTGGCTACACACAATTTTTGTTCTTCTCTTCCCTACTGAAATCGCACCAGAATTGACTGCAGGATCACTCAAGTAAATTATACAGTGGTAATCTCCCGTACAGAGGTGAAAAGTTCGATGTTGTGAACAACGAGACTAGCGATCTTGAACTATATGTTGAGGCATTAGTTCACGTAAGGTTGCGTTCATACTTTGCGGCAACGTCCACCAGCGACTCCCTGCGTCCACCGGCGGCCATCAGCATTTCGAGCGTCCGTCAGCGCCACCGACCGGGAAAGTATAGATATCGATCCAGCGAATGGCGGCGTCCACCAGCTACCCCCGGGTCTGCCAGCAACCATTAGCGTTCAAGGAACAAAGAAAGTATGGATATTGATCTAGCGTCCACATGAGTCTACCAGCGTCCACCAGTGACCAGGAGTACGCTACTGTGTATTAGTTTGGGGCAGTTGCCTACGGTACAACCTAATCCAGCTGTCTGCTTCCTCCTACCCTCCCATACTCTACCAGCAGTCTGCCACCCTAATAACTCCCCATCTTCTCTACTCCTGGTCGCTGGTGTACGGTAGTAAACGATGATAGACCCTAATTTGATACCCTGACTCGTGAGACGGCTGGTTGACGCTGGGTAGACGCCATCGTTCGCTAGATCGATATCTATACTTTCTTAGTCGCTGACGCTGACGAACGCTGCAAACGCTGATGATCGTTGGTGGACGCTGGTGGTTGCTGGTTGAGTTTCCACAGTTTCCGCAAAGTATGAACGTAGCCTAAGCGTTATAGAACTGTGGTGGTACGGGTAAAGACCCTGACTTTTGTGCTCGCATCTAAACGCCTTTCCTCCCACAATGGTGAAGAGAAGAGGGTGGCTGATTAGGTTGGTACAATTTGTCCATCTTTACTAAAACCATCAGCGCGCGGACCTGTGAGCGTTATTTTGATACATTCATCCAAAAACGGATAGATTCAAGCCGTGCACTGTAGCCAACTGATTCGAAATGAAAAACACTTTACAGCACTTCTTTATGTGAATTTTGTTTTTTTTTCTGCAGATCGCGAACCTTTTTATCAGAAACATAGCACAAGCACTGGAAACATCTGAGCTAGCTCTCAAGCAACTATTCGGTGGCGAAGAAGCGGTGAGTGTCACTCTTCATTTTCCGCTTTCAAAAAGTTTATAGCCTTAATAATCGCCTAGCAGAAAGAGTTTTCATCGCCTTAGATTCTGAAGTCCTTGTGGAGGCTTGGCTTCCAGGAGTTGCCCGTGTACGATCCACGAACCTATGGTTTCGTACGTATTCAATAACGAACCTCAGGCAGAATCGCTAAGGAGAAACACAATGGCGCGCTTTCTGGTAAGAGATCTTTCTTGTGTCTTCATCGTCCCAGATTATTTTTAGAAATCGATAATAATCGATTCAGAATGGAAGTCGCCTAGAGGTTTCATGGGCTCGCCCGCCACCTCCTGGACGAACCACCAAGAAAACACCTCCGATTGGGAAACATCGACTGTTCACCATGAATCCTAGCATTATGCAACAACCAATGTGCGTCAAGGTTTTCTCACTATTGCTAGTTCTATCATACGGTATCCGACAACAAAAATATTCCAAAACTTTAGAACTCCGATTTCTTATTTCATCTGCTTGTTCGTAAGTATTGTGGCAGGGGGTAGGCTTCTCTAGCTCCATTGCAGCACAGGTGGCCAAAAAGTTATTCCAAACCGAGTTACAATCGATGTTGCAGAGGTGGAGAGGGCGTGGCTGCGTTCTCTTCTTTACTTCATGGCGTAGGAAAGTATTTTCCCCATCCCGTACAACCGTCAATTTGCGTTGCGCTTGATAAGAAATTCTACATTTTCTTCAAAACGGCAAAAGCCGCACAGGCAGCTAGGCGCCGCTTTTCCGCTCATACTGATATGAGGCAACCCTCCTCCCCCCCCGCTACCTACCTTCCACTATAGCAGCGTGTTCATACTTCGCGCTCTCGGATCCAGTCACTCGGATGGAAGTGCGAAAGCGGCCTATCGTTTACAATTGAGAGTGAGGGGCAAACTTACCGCTATCAGATCGGAGTCATGAGAGCAATCGGACGAATGATGTCAATCTGATGATGAGTTGTGATGAAGAGTGGACAACCACTCCCCCCCCCTCCAATTAATCGCACCCCACGGGCAATACTCTAAGGCTGTTGACGTACCTTCTGGACAACACGTGGAAGCTCTATGTTGTGGTCACGCACATAACTGGGTAATGCTTCCAGCTAGTTACCTCGCCTATCGCAACACTTCCGCTTTAAAACATTTACGGTTGGGTCGCGAGCACGTGCCCCACCCCACCGTGCCGCGTCGACGTTACTCTTCCAACCGGGACATACACAGGGGGAGGGGACCCTGAATCTGTCGGAGAGGTGAGCTGGCATTTGAAGGCAGACTCCGCCCCAGAGGTTATGTGTACGATACACCGCATTGGGAAAGGTGCAGGGCTCTTGTGTCACTTGTGGAAGCCGTAGAGGGTGAGACAGGTCTCTGAGGCCGACTAAACGCACCGGGCTTTTAAGGTATGGAAGAAATTAAACCTACCGGTTGAACTCTTTTGTTTGTCTTACCGCGCTCACAAGTAGTAGAAGCACCCCAAGGCTGTAACTTGAAAAAATTCCAGAAATCTCTTGGCAAGTAGTGTAGCGTCTTTAAACGATGGTAGGCAAAAAAGTTCGGAATCAATTGTTTTTCTCCCCCACGAGTCAGTTATTCATGTACGTCTACCGAAATGAGAACATTTCAGAGCCACACACAGCTTTGAGGGATTTCCTCTGTTACAAGTCGAAACGCCTTTGTTCACACCTCCAATTCTTGATGTGCCACTTCTCACACCTGCTCAGACACCAGTCTCATCCACATCGCGGGTCGTCCATCCATGCCTCTTCTATCGTTCCACACACTTCAGGGCAACGCTTGGATGGGTCTGTCGGTGCATGGGGCGACCCCGAATCGTCAGTGCCTGTGACTACTGTTCCTGAACAGTCACAGATGATGAAGGTTAGTACAGCTATAAGCATTATTTTTTTGATGAACTCAGAAAATTAACAGCTTTCAAGTTTCGGAACAGGGAGCGTCACTGTCTACTTCCATTCCTGTCTATTATGCAGCCTGTGCGCACTACTTCTGCCACTTTCACGCAGGGTGCATTAATGGCATCAATCCATATCTGTGGGCGAAAAGGGGCGTCCCAGGAACGCAGCGATGGCCGCGGAAATTCCGACGAAGACAGGCAGGGACTTATGAATTAGAGAGGAGAGTCGACGATTAAACGCCCCATTCTGCCTCCCATCTGCATTGTACAATTTCCCGAAGTCTGGGAAAATTTCTCGAAATCTGGGACACTATTCGAAGAAGCTTCATAAATAACTGAAATGGAAAACGCTCGAACAAGCTGCAAAAGGGAACATAAGCAATGAGAGTACCAAGGGAACCAACTCATAAAATGGGCTCACAATCAAATGAAACGATTAGCTGACGGTACCAATCTGCAGAGGACAATCCAAACTGCCTTTGAGTATCTTTTTTCTCTTGACGCTTGCAATGGGTTTTCAGGCGTTCGCAGAACGAGTGCGCAATCATGGTTTGGGGGACGTTCGTGTAACCACTTCGGCAGTGGTCATCAACAATCTCGTATTCTACGTCACTACGGTAAGTGCGAGGTGAATGGGTCCGCTCGCTGCTGGCTCCATACTCCGCCCGCGCCATCCTTACGGTGCAGCAGTACTTGCGTCGACACTAAAATCCCGCAGAGAACACACATTCAGAGCTAGAGAACAACTAGAAGTGGGGGAGAGGGGGGAGGGGGTGCAGGTACTTAGCGTATTTGGCCATATTTAGCCAAATACGCTATTTAGTTAGCTGTGGCTGGCTGTGTGGCAGCGCCGGCGAAGTACAGTCATCATCCGGTGAGTTGATTATTGCGGCAGGGGATGCGACGCGGCTGCGGTGTGTTGCGAGCGCGGCGATCAGCTGTTTCCAGCCTATTTTAGCCATTTTCTCCCTAGTTTACGCTGTTTTGGCTGCTTTTCTCACGATTAGTTGTTTCTTGTCTTCACAAGGTGAATTATGATTGAGATTCTTCTGGTTTTTGCGTACAATTAAACAGTTAAGCAGACAATTGAACAAATACCTGAAAAAAATCGCAAAAACACTCTATTGCAGAAACAAAAAAAACACTCCTCGTCCTAATATACTTCATAAAGACGATAAAACAACTAACGTCAAAAAATAGAAAATAATCGTGAGAAAAGCAGCCAAAACAGCGTAAACTAGGGAGAAAATGGCTAAAATACAGCTGATCGCCGCGCTCGCAACACACCGCAGCCGCGTCGCGTCCCTTGCCGCCCAAATCAAGTCACCGGATGACATCTGTGTAGAGACGACACTTGGGTACATGACTCAGCCACAGCCGTTCGAGAGCACTTTTGACCGGAGAAAGTGGCACGCTACTGCAGCCGTGGACCCATTCACCTTGCA